ATATTCAATCTGCACAAGCAGAGCTCAGGCAATCCTAAATTACATGTCATTAATTCTCCATGCTTTAAAGTGATCAGAATCACCATGAATAGTTTGCCACTCTCTTAACTGGCTCATAATATTCTTGTAATCCTCAAGTGGATATTCACTTATCTTTCTCTGTTAATCCCGTAAAATATTACAAGAATTTAAAATTTTCAAACTGACAAAGATTCCTATGGACCAAATCTTAGTTAGGCTCCTGCACCTTCTCCTAGGCCATCTTCTGTGTAAAATTCACTTTCGGCAAAGAACCCTGCTCAGCTAGTTTAGCAACAACAAAACACCCAATTCTGTGACAAGGTTTCCCATCTCCATCATGCCCCAGGTCACATCTGACAATTCTGGCCTGTCTTCAGCAAAAATTCCCCTTACACTAATATGGAAATCACCCGATGACCACAATCTGCTCCTTAGCTATAAATTCCCATGTTCCCTCTCAAAAACCATACTGATTGTGATGGTCCTAACTAAAGACCAACAAATGGTGCTTTAACAAGTATTGATGAATAACTTTTAGTTAACAAATTAAATCCTATTTTGAAAATTAAAAAGAAATTTACTACTCTGATGTTAATGAATTATTGATTATTCTTTTTTCTTCCCCCATCTCCATTTCCAAAAGCTTTTCTGAATTATTTCTGTGTAGTTAGCCTTTCTTTGTTCTAAATCTGATGTCCTGTTTTTTCTGTGCCTACATATTAGAAGCTTAAGGTGTCAGTTATTGTGTTCTTATTTGTTCCCTTCTGTTTTTCATTCTAACCTTAGTTGTGTTAACAGTTGCTCTGCAAGAATACACGGAAGGCCTCTCTGAACCGTAGTTGTGATTCCTGCACATATTCTGTTCAAGGGTTGCCCTGTAATTGCTCTGCTTCTCTGGCTGTGCTCTTTTGACCAACCAGCTTGTTACTTGTCCCAAGTAACCTTATATACCATGTGAGTTTAACAGCAGAATCAACTGTTCGCTCTAATAACTTCCACAATCCACAAGAAGAGGGCAATGTGATATAGCCTCAAGCCTTACTTCTACTTCCTACTCAAAATATTTGAGGAGTGGGAGCCTCCCACATTTTTTTTTCCTCTGTGGTGCTGTGGATCCAACCCAGGGTCTCAGGTATGTTAAGAAGTGCTCTGCCATGAGCTACATCCCCAGCTGTTACTTTTCGGAAATAGAAACTGACCACAGAAACAAGAAGTTTCTAACTGAAAATAACTGGGAATCTAAGCAAAGAAAGGGAAGATTAACTGTCATAGTTAACAGGATAAGGAAGGCAGGTCTGTGAAGGCCTTCCCAGTATTGCTATCTTCACGGCTTCTGCATATGTTTCTGGGCCATCTGGGAACATCTTCAAACCTTCCAGGCTGCCTAAATATTTTAAGTACTGTTAAACTAAGTAATACCAAAACAAGTATAGAGATAACTTCTTTTAAACTATGTTCCCAGAAGAAAACTGTTTACACAAAGGGAAAAATGCTATTTACAACTTGGTATAAATGGAGTAACTTTGTTTGTTTCTGCCTCATTCCTGAACTAGCAGTTTTCTAGAGCAGAAACTCACTTCTAAAAGACAAAGTATAGAGCTGAGGGCATGATCAAGTGGTAGAGTGCCTGCCTAGAAAGCACAAAACCCTGAGTTCAACCTTAGTGCTGCCAACAAAAATTCAGAAGACTTGAACTCTAGTCTGGAATCAGTTTTTTTTCTTAGTCATATAGCACTAGATAAATCAATAGCAATAATCTCTCACTCATAAAACAGGGCTGATGATAACCAAACTCTTTTTCTTTGACTAGAAATTATAAAGGGCTGGAGGTGTGGCTCAAGTGGTAGAAAGCCTGCCTAGCAAGGTACTGGCAAATCCCAGTAGTGCAAAAAAAGAGGAACAACAACAACAAAAAAAAAAGTTAAGTATGGTTTAGCGTAGACTCAACCAAAGGAATTCTAGTCTTATTTGTTTCATGTTGGAATTGCGGGTAAGTCTTCCTTTCAAAAATGGGTTCAAATGCCATTTTTAAATTTTGCTTTCAAGTTTTAAAAAACACTTGTACCCTATCAGAAAGATCTGACAATACCAAGTATTGACAAAGATACAAGGCTACTAGAACAGGTCATTTATAGCATAGCTATGTATGAGTGGTACAGCCACACAAGTGATACAGTCCCTTTGGAAAACTGTAATGAAGTATCTGTTAAAGCTTCTATGGTACATACATGAGAGTCTGTGTGTGTGGGTGTGTATGTATGTGAGAGAGAGAGAGAGAGAGAGAGAGAGAGAGAGTCTGCGTATCATGACCCAGTTCACCAAAAGTAATGTACAAGTACGTGCTTAGCAACTTTATCCATAACGATACAAAATGGAAACAACTCAAATGTCTATCAATGGAATGGATTTTTTTGTGTGTGTGGTAGCTTATACACTGAAATATTACACAGTAGTGAAAATGAAGAAACTACTGCTATTTATACTAACATGGATGAATCGCAAACATAATGTTGAATGAAAGAAGCCCTGTGCAAAAGAATAAATGTGCATGATTTCATTTATATGATGTTCAAGAACAAGTAAGACTACTCCAGGTGACAGAGATTGGAATAGCCGTTTGCCTGTGGTTTGAGGAAGACGCTGATGAGAAAGGATAAAAAAGAAGCCTCTTGGGTGCTGGAAATTTTCAATACCTTGATGTGAATGGTGCTTACACAAGTGCACACAGATGTAAAAATTCATCACACTGCACAATGAATATTTGTGCATCTATTATATATCTTAAACCCTAATGTAAAAATTCATACAGTAGCAAGAATCCCAGAGTAAATGTTGGCAAGTTCTAGTCCTGGTTCTGTGATGTGTAATTCTTGATAAAGCATACAGCCTTACTAGGTCTCCATTCCATACACTACAGTGCGAAGTAAACTCTTGTTCCCTTCTAAAATTCATTAATTTGAAATTTCTATAAATTCCCTCCATCTCTACATTTACCCTAAACATAGTAAGTCTCCTACTGTTTGGCACCAAAACTTAACTTAAGCATCTCTTTGATCCCAACTTGGAAAGCCTGGTAGTCTATTTAGCTTCTTTTATATTAATAGACGGAAGCAGCATCAGAGTCTCAGGCTCAACATACAACCACAGGAATGAAACAGTCACTCCCTGGTATTGTGGGGATGGATTCCAGGATCCCCCTCAGACACCACAATTATCTCTGTATTACTTACAACACCTACCACAATGTAAACAATTGTTATAATGTATTGCTTGGGCAATACTGATAAGTATGTACATATTTAGTACAATTTTTCTGAAAATGGTTGGAACCCTAGGACACAGAGGGCCAACTGTACTTACCTGAAATGGAGGTGATTAAAAATCAGTTGTAGTGTATTATCTGGAAAGAACAATAAACTGCAAATGATAGTAACTAGGGCTGCAATTTTCTCTGGATCAGTAAAGGTATCCTAGGGCCACTATAGTGATGAGAACTAATAATTTCTAAATAATCAATAACAAATCTAGGTACAGGCAGACAGCTGTTCCTTTGAAGTTATCCACATGAAAGATCAATATTTATTATGCAAGTTACATATACTGAAAAAAATCGAGAAGACAGACCTGATGTTGTAAGCAGGGCATACAGGCCCAGTTTTATTTTTTATAGTGGGTATATTACTTTGATAAACAAAAAAGGCAAAATGACAGTAAGATCAAATTTAACCATAACCAATTCATCTTCACGAGGAAACAGTCGCTGACTACCTTAAAGGTGATTCCCATTATTCTCATTCTAGGTACATAAGTCATCAGGTCATCCTATCAGGGCCCAGACAACCTCATCATTAGTTATGAGAAAGGAAACAAAATGCTAAGATCATTTGTTATGAGTGCTGAGAACCGAAGGGACTTTTTATTCATTAAGCTTCCAAATTTTGGAATTCTTCAGCCAAATGTGAGAGACTGGAGAAGATACCTTCATCACACGGGAAAAAAGTGCTATGTGTAGTAAACTGCCATGAATAGCAGCGGCTCACTGAGAGCCAGGCCCAGGTTCTACTTACCGCTTGCCACCTAACCCAGCAAGTCATTGAATCTTCCTGTGGCTTAGCCTGCTTATCTATGAAAGGTAACAAGGCATTCATTATCTCATGACTAAAAAAGTCTAAATGCTTGGAATTCACTAAGTGTTCACTGACATGGGAAAAGCATTTCTGGGTATTAACCTTAATCCACACAAAAGCCAACCATTCTGATTAACAAAAATACCTAGAAATCAGAAATAAGGAGATACTAAAACTGAGTGGTGGACATTAACACCTGAGGTCAGTGAAAAAAGCCTAACTGCCTGCCACCTGGGTTTGCATCTATCAAACAAACAAACACAAAGGACCACAATATACTTGAAGCTGGGCTGACACCTGTAATCCTAGCTACCCCGAAGGCAGAGAGATCAGAAAGATCTTAGTTTGAAGCCAATCCTGGCTAATAGTTTGCGAGACCCTATCTCAAAACCCCTTCACAAAAAAGGGCTTGTGGAGTGGCTCAAAGTGTAGTCCCTGAATTCAAACTCCAGCATCACAAAAAAAAAAAAAAAAGGACCCACAAAACATAAATGAACAAATAAATTGCATAAATGGAAGGAGATACAATGAACTGGTAGAGAACTAACAACAACAACAACAAAAAACTCTCATCAGTGAAGCTGTATCTATTCCAGAAAAAGTCTGGAGTTTATGTATATAAAACTCCTAAGCCTGGCAGAGAAGCTAAGTGGTAGAGTGCCTGCCTAGCAAGCACAAGGCCCTGAATCCAACCTCCAGTACTGCCACAAAGACAAACAAAAAAAGGGTAAAACTTCTGCACACACACACACGCATACATACATGTGTACATACGTATACACATACATACATGCATACACCTTTACTAGCTGAATATAGGGTAAAAATTTAAGAAACGTAGTTACTACTCACTTTGACAGAGACACTCCCCCAGCTTTCCCAATCATCTCTTCGTGGTGCAATACTGAGTGGTTCCACGGAATGTGGAGGAACTTCAAGAGCGTCCTCATCCACCGCTCAGGATGCAAGACGAGTTGTTCATAGTGAACCATCATGCACTTTTTATAACCGACTTCCATACACTGGTTGTACATGGTCTCTATGGCACGATTCCACTTGGTCAAACAGTCCCTGTAGCTGTTCAGGTCAAATCCAGCTATAGTAACTTTTCGAGAAATCATTGAATGTACTGATGCCCGGCCATCTCGGACCATCAGGAGAAATTTGGCATTGGGGAATAACCTAGCAAGGTAAGTTAAGGATTTCAGGGCAAACGGATCTTTATTACATAAATAAGGGGCTGGCTCCCCGTGCTTAACAATGACTTCTAGTAAAAAGGCTTGCATGGCAGAATCCAACACTTCATCAGTGACACCAGCCTCATCCAAGCGGATCTTCTCTTTACTGGACCGTGACCACATCTGCTTCAGGGCCAAGATTCGAGGAATGACCCTGGTTTCCTCCCCGCAGCGAATGTCAGGGTGTGCATCCAGCATGGCCCTCATGAGTGTGGTTCCACTCCGAGGCACACCTCCAATAAATATTAAAGGCATATCTTTGTGATAGGCAAAGGTTTTGTTGGCTTTGATGTCCAGGCCAGTTCGCACAGAAGTCTTTGGGCTCTCCAGTTTGACTGGCTGGCTACGTTCTTCTATTCGGTGATGGCATTCCATGGCATGCTGGCCCAAGTAAAACACTGTCACAGAACTAATCACCAGGCATGCCAATAGTAGGTTCTGCTTCAGTTTTCCAACCATCTTGATGTGGTTGTCTTGTTATTAGGCAGATATTTTGCTCAAAATGGTTTTCAAGAAACGTTCAGGCCATGGAATTTCTACTTCAGAAAGGTGGTCGACATCTAGTAGGAAAAGGAAAAAGTTATTTTATCATCATGTTATGATTATTCACAAATTAGCCACCCGTTACCACCTCTGCACCTTAACCAGGAAGAAGGTGAAATGGTCTTGGATGCTCTGATATTCTTAAGACACAGCACAAAAATGTGAGCAAAATAAATAAATGCTTATAATCAGAAAAGACTTTGTTTTGTTTGGTTTGACTTGGCTTGGTTGGTTGGTTTTGTTTTGTTTGTTTACATATGGTGATTTTTTATTTCTGTATTTTTGAGACAGGGTCTTGCTACCTAAAACTTGTAATCCTCTTGCCTCCACCTCCTGAGTGCTGGTATTATAGTCATGCACCACCATGCCCTGCCCAGGAACAGCTTTTCTTAGTGTAACAAATCTGAAGCTATGTATCTGGCAATGAATGGAAAAATAAATAAAAGCTATTTTTATCAGCAAGTCAAGCAAATACGTAATATGCCCAAGAATGTTTGGAGTCCAATCTAAGTCTACTTATATTCAAATTTGCTTCATACCCAGACATTATCTCCACATTCTGCTAGAAAGACAAATTACAGAAGAAATATAAAACACACTTCCAAATCTTTGACAAAGATTCTGTTTATTTGTCCCATAATTTATTGAGGTTCTATAGGCCAGGTGCCTAGCCTGACTGAGGACAGCAGTATGGGACCTGTGCTCTCAGAAAAGTCTTCTGGGAGACAGATGTGGAAACAATGACAGGAAAATGTGATCAATGCCCCAACAGGGACAATTTGCATAATGAAGGGCACGTGTAAGTCCACCTGAGGAAGCTATAAAAGCCTTACAGAAAATGGGAGGGAGGGGCATTCTGAGTCATAAGAACTGTGCAAAGCACAATGGCACGACACAGCACAGCACAGTAGGAAACAGGAGAGCTGAAGTACAGGGTGCTTATGCATAAGTGACTGTGACTTAGCCCTTGCAAGGACAGATAAGATTTGGACACACAAGTCACTCCAAGCTACAGATACACTATGATCAAAGACATGGGAGTGGAAGTAAATATTTGAAGAAATGTAGGTCAACATACAAATGCTGCACATTTAAAGCAGTGCAATTCACAAAAGTCAAAATACAGAATCAGCTTAGGTGCCAATCAACTGATGGATGGATAAAGAAAATGTGGTACATGTATGCTTTGAGCTTCACCCATGCCCACATCTATTGGAAAAGGACAAAAGCCTCATGATCCCAGATGTGTGAGCACAGGCATGTTCCAGCATTGGCTGTCTACTGGTCACTAAGCTATAGAGACAGGGAGTCAATATCTAGAAAGCCAAGCTTAAAAATGAAAACTATTAGAAAAGTACATACATGCCTTACTTAAATATGGGAATTCTTTATTTAAAAGTTGTTTTTATATAAGAAAGTATATGCCAATTGTTATATATAATAACAATACTTTAAGAAGTGTATGTGCATGTGATGTGTAGCAGGGAGGGAGACCAGAAAAGAAACAGACAAGTTTGTGTTCTGATAATGTTGCAGGGAGAAGGGATGACATAGCAGAGAGATAAAACTTAAAGAACTGAAACATGAAGAAGCTCACATAGCACTGGGGGAATGAAATAGCCAATAAAGTCACATGCAACCATATACTGGTTAAGCTTTGCTGTTTGCTTCTGTAACATGCTTGCAAGGATATATAAGGTGAGACCTCTTTGTTCTCGGGGCTCAGTCTCTGGACATGAGTCTGCTGAGTCTGTGCTGGCACAATAAAATGTTGCTTCATGCTAACCTGCCTCAGTGTTCCATGTCTCAGCTTGGGATTCCTGCAACAGTGTACATACATATACACTCACGCAGTAATATCAGCATACATTTATATTAAATGTCCACCCAAGGCAATTTACAGAGACAGAAAGCAGATCACAAGCAAGGATTTAGCTGTAAAGAGGCATGCTGTGACTTTCTGCAGTAACTGAAAATGTTCTAAAACTGGACAGCTGTCAGTTGCACAACTCTATAAAATCTAATAAAAATCACTGAATTGTACTCTTACAATGGGTGAGTTTTATGATATATAAATCACACCTCATTACAGATGTTTGGTTTTTTTAAAGAATACATTAATAGAAAAATATTTGAATAGTCTCAGTAGGATACACCAGCCAAGATCTGGTTTTTGTTTATTCATGCATTCTGTCCATTTGATTTATCTGAGCACATATTAATATGCCAGACATTGCATAAAGCTTCAGTCAAGAATCACAAAAACTAGATTGGGACTAAAAGTTTTACTTAATAAGAAAAGACTAGGAAGAAAAAAGCATTAGTGAAGATAACTGGTAGCACTACAGCACTGAAATGTCTAAACAGAAAACTGCATCCACTATGTGAAAGACACACTTAGGATGCTATCCCAGTATTCCATCTAAAAGGCATGGGCAGCAAGAAAAATAATGGCAAGAAAAGAGAGTAATATAGAAAACAGAGAATTAAGGCTCAACCCTAGAGCAGTAACATTGTGATTGACAAAACAAAAACTATATTACGAGTACAAAAAACCAACTTCTTAAACTGGGAAAAAAATACTAGTCTATAGAGCTGAGGCCTATGTTTCAACCAAAACAAATGACGATAGATCCAGTCTGGACATATCCTGGCAACGGTAAAGATGTGGGGATTCATTCTGTAGGCTCCCAGACAAAAAGAAAACAAGGACCAAAATACCAAATAACAAGCTGGCATTAGATGTCCCTACAATATTAAATACTTGTCCTCTGGTTTCCTTGTACACATGTGTGTGTGTGTGTGTGTGTGTGTGTGTGTGTGTATCTTTAATATGTATTTTATATATTATTTATTTATTTATATATTCTTTTGCAGTACTGGGGATTAAACCAGGGCCTCACGCTTGCTAGTCACTTAAGCCATGTTCCCAGTCCTTTTGTTGGTGTTTTGTTTCTGAGAAACGGTCTAGCCAATTTTGTTCCCCACAATTCTCCAAGAAGCTGGGATCGCAGGCACATCCACAACATCCAGCTATATTTCTCAAATACACTACAATGAATGTGAATATTAAGGAATCAATACTTTGAACATTAACAGGAACAGTCTTATAAAATGGAACTTAAGCTGCAATTTGAAGGATTAGTAGGATTTAGGTAGAATGAAGTAAAGAGCATTCCAAAGAAAAGTAAATGGATATGCAAAAGTGCTTGTAATAAGAAGGCATTACAAAGCTTTCAGAAGCGGGAAGTAGGTCAAAGTAGCTACAAGGCCAGGGGCAAGACAGAAAGTGAATGAGAGATGAACCTGGACAGAGGTTGGATCAAGATAGGGATATGAAATTGTACATAATCAAATGGAACTGATTTAAAACTTTTAACCAGGGAGTTGGTCTAATTCAGGTTGATTTAATTTGGGTTTATAAAAATCTCTCTTTAGCTAAAACAATCTTGAAAAAAAGAAAAGAAAGTTGAAAGACTCATACTTTCTAATTTCAAAACTACAAAGCTAAGGTAATGAAGATGCTAACCTAAAATGATCAATAGAAAGACAGACTCTCTAAGCAAAGAGTTTATTTGGGAATAACAGGAATTGCAATCCAGTCAAGTGGCAGACCACAGGCACATCCAAGAGGGTTGAGAAAAAGGGGAAGCTTGTAAAGACAAAAAAGAGAAACTCAGGTTGCCATTTTGCAATAATGACCAGTGGCTCCAGGGGTTTGTTGAAAGAGCTGACATTAGCTCCTTGGTGGAGACAGCCATTGTTAGGCAACTGTCCTTGTCAAGTGGTTAATTCCCATTACAGGCATATGTGCATGAGGGCCCCTCCTTCATGACCTCCCAGCTCCATTTTGTTAGTGTTTGACACTAGTGACTCCATTTTTGATACCAATTAACTTTTACAAAGACAATGTAGTACTAGCACCAAAGTAGGTATTATAGATGAATAGAACAGAATTGTGAGTCCAAAAATAAAACCCTGCATTTATGGACAACAGTGTGAAGACGATTCAGGGAAGAACAAGCACTCTTTTAACAAATGGTGTGGCAATAACTGAATATCCATATACAAAAGAAAAAACTGGCTACCTACCCTCATACCATACACAAAAATTAACAAAATGACTATACATCTAAATTTAAGAACTAAAAATGTAGACCTCTTAGGAAAAAAAAAAGACTTGTAAATCTTTGTGGCCTCTGGTTTGGCAACAGTTTTTTAGATACAATATTGTAAGTTGCAAAGACAAAAATAGATAAATTGGACTTCATTAAAATGAAAAGGTTCTGTGCATCAAAGGACACCACCAACAAAGTGAAAGACAAACCAAAAAGAAATAATATTTGTGAATCATATATTTGACAAAAGACTTTTATCCAAAAAATATATCAAGAACTTCTACAACTCAATAGTAAAAAGACAACCCAATTTAAAAATGGGGAAAGGACTAGAAAAGACATTTCTCCAAAGAAGATATAAAAAGGCCAGCAAGCACATGAAAAGATTCCCTAGTTTTTAGGAAAACACAAATCAATACCAGTAAGATACTTTGATGATCACAGGATGGCTACAATCAAAAACACAGACAATACGAAGTATTGGGGGAGGTGTGGAGACATGAGAAACTCTGTTAAACTGCTAGTGATTGAAAAGTGGTGCAGCACTTGAGAAAACAGTTTGCCAGATGCTCAAAAGGTTAAACAGTTACCACGTACCTGAACAATTCTCCCTGAGAGGACTTTTCACAAATGTTCATAGCATTCTTGTTCACAGCCAAAATACAGAAATAACCAAAATGTCTATTAACTCACAAATGGATAAACAAAACATAGTACAGCCACACAATGCAATATTATTCAGCCATAAAAAGGAACAAATACATGGATAGTTTTTACAATATTTCAGCAAATAATAGAAGCCATTCACAAAAGACCACACCATTTATATGAACTGTCCAAAACAGCAAATCTATAGTTGCCTAGGGATAGGAGGAGAAATTTGGTGCCACTTTTCTTTG